AGCGTGAACGACCGAAGACGCGTGAAGCGAACGCCGAGGAGACAAACGGCCCAGGTCCCCAGGTGGTAGGCCACGTCGTCGGGCAGCGACGGCGCGGGGAAGGGCTGCTATGCCAGGAGGAAGCGGTAGTCGGTCGGGCTGCGGCCGCTCCGCGCCCTCCAGCGAGCAGGCTGGAGGCCCCCCCAGGCTGAGGCGCGCACAGAGCTGGGGAGAAAGGCCGCGAGCAGCGCGACCAGCCATCCGGGCGCCACGCGCGCCGAGACCCGGAGGCAGCTGCAGTGGCCAGCACGGCGGCGCCGTGAAATGAGGCGCCCCAAGGCGACAGCGATCCCGCGAGGCGTGAAGAATTGCAAGCGACCGCCACCTGCAAGCGCGACGGCCTGACGCCCCGCGGGACTATAATCTAGATCCTACAGTCGGGCCGCTGAGAGAAGGAACGCTAAATAAGGAACGAAGCCCCTTTTTGGCCCTAAAAGCGCCTCCGTTCCCAAGGAGGGCAACAGGAACAGCAATTAAGGAGCCTAAGGAACATCGAGCCCCTTCCGAACCCAAATTGTTCTTGAATTTCAGCGACTTGACTGTGGAGCAATGTAGCAGGCGGTAAAACGAAAGTCCACATGCCAAGAATTCTAAAGTGGACCTTCGAAATTCGACGCCCGCTGCTTGGAGCGTTTGCGCACGCATCCTGGTCTTCCTCCTCCCTTCACTATCCTTTCTCATCCCTGGCCAACTCACGTAACGCATGTTCCTCATCCCTCATCCCTCCCAAACGTCGCCTCCTGCCCTTCTCGCCTACACGTCGTTCATTTCTAATCGTGCTCATTTCTAATTGTGCTCGTTTCTAATTGTTCCTGGCCCCCTGGTGACCAGGAAGAGGCCCAGGATAGAACAATTAGAAATGAAAGGATCTTGGCCCCCCAGAAAATCAAAGAACCTTCGAAGAATTAGAAATGAACCATGTGCACTCTCCCACACTCGGAGCCGAGCATGATTTCGATGCAGAGGCCAGGATCCATCGTCGGCAGAGAGCCCAACGGCGCCCAGGACCACATAGCACAGCAGAGACGACGGCTGGGCGGACCTCTGTCACAGCCAAGCTGCAAATACTTGGCGTGAGCCTGGGTAAGCGCAAATCGGGCTGGGCGAAAGGGGGGGATAGCAAAGGGGGGGGGTGAGAATCAGATCACGTAGCTGATTTTCACGGCGCCTCCCGGTGCCGGGAGGCGCCAATGTATCGAGGAATGGGCCCGGCGGCGGGGCCGAAACCAGCTGCATGCAGCAGATTTCGTAACCTCCCCCTTTCCCCATCCCCCCCCCTTTCGTTCGGCCCGAGCAGAGCTGTGTTCCTCCCAGCCCTCTTCCCTGCCCGCCAGGCTCCACACCTACTCCTTGCAGACACCTCCTCCCTATGGCACCCCGAGACGTGCCAATAGGGCGGTCTGGGCGATTTCCCGGAGACGTCCTTGCCCCTCACGGTCCTTAACCTTGTGAACGCTTCTTTTTCGGCGTTTCGGCATTGGGCGGAAGGGGGGGGGTCTGGCTCTGGGCCTCTGCTGAATGCCACTGTTTGCAGCTGTGCGTCCTGTGGGGGAGACCCCATCTGCTCGAGACAGGCGCCAGAAACAGCCAAGATCTACTCCTTGTGGGGGGGGGGGAAGGGGGGGTTCGAGGGCCGGCGCCGATCGGCAAAACAACGAACAAGAAAACGCTCACCTTCATGATCCTTAACCTTGAACTTTGTAACAATTTCAAGGATGAAGGGAGAGTCGCTTTCAAAATTTAGCTCTCGCCTCGGCGCCGCGCACATTCGTTGTAAAATCGTGGAAGAGTTTCACGAATGGAGGGCGGGTCCTTTCCAAAATGTGGCTCTCGCCCTAGCGCCGCGCACAGTCGTCTTAAGAGTACGCAATAGCTTCAAGGATGGAGGGCACCTTTTCAAAATGTGACTGTCGCCTTAGCGCCGCGAACATTCGTCTTAAGAGTTTGCAGCACTTTCAAAGATTCGGATGTCCCAGAAACGGTGTAAAGCGATGCAGGACTGCCAGGGAGCAACAGTTACGTTGATTCGCGGTGTTGAAGTCCGAAGAATGGTGTTCTGGTACGGTTCAGGATCATCAAGACGCAACAGTAAGATTGATTCGTGGCGTTGGCATCCCAGGAAGGGTGCTCTGGCACGGTTTATAATGTTCAAACGGTTGTCTTCTAAAGGGTAACTGCCCTCAGTGGAAATGAATTCTTCTAAGGGCCTAGGAACCTGGAGGGGGGGTGATTGCAAGATTGTAGATGAGTCTTGTGTTTAGATTGGCCCTCGTCATCCTCGTCCTCCAGTCTGTTGTATTCTACTCCTCTGGTCATCCTGCTCCTGCCCTCCCTCTAATCTGGTGTTCCTCAGCTTTTTCCCCCTCCCCGATCCATCCTGAACGTCTTCAGCAACTTGTCTTGCCTCTCTGCCTCTGCCGCACGTTCAGCTTCGCGTTGCCTCAACTGCTCCTCGGTGAGTCTGAGAGCTAGATTTCGGTAGACTTTCTTGCAGCCCTTCCCAACGTGCTTTGTCGCGGTGACGACGGCGATGACAGCGCCAATGACTGCGCCAATAAGTTAATAAGGAGGAAAATCACCAAGACCACGACGACGACGACGACGACGACGACGACGACGACGACGACGACGACGACGACTACAACGGTGGCGATGCCGACGAGGACGTGGTCGAGGACAAAGCCAAGGTTGTGGAAGAGGATAGCGGCATGTCAAAAGTGCGAGGGCGAGGGCGAGAGAGAGACGACAATGATGAGGACGAGGAAGAGGGTCGGGACAGACGGCAGGACACCCAGAGGACAGAGACTAGGATGACGAGGAGAAGAAACAGGCTTGCGATGGAAGAGGAAGATCGAGCCTTCCAAAAACAATCTCACGGCCACAGACAAGATAGAATAGCCGCTGCTCGCTGCTCGGTCGACGCGCAACGTAACTGGACTGCAACTGAAGAGAATCCGGTGCGCACTCGGATACGCGAGGGCAAGAGAGGCCACGAATCCACACAGATACTGCCAAGTTTCATCGAGCACTGCCTTCACTGCATCAGTCTGAAAACCTTCTACGCTCCGTCCTTCCTCCCCGGGCCGTCTCCTCATCCCCTCACTGCACCCCTCCCCAACAGTGTCCTTTTCGTCCTTTCCCGTGCTCCAGCGAGCCTGGTGATGTTGAGAACAAGACGCTTCCCCTCCACCCTCCCCTGCTGCTTTTGCTTCTCCTCTTCTTGCTCATCCGTTTCATTTCTCCTCGTCGTCCACCGTGCAGGCGCGGGGATCTAAAGGAAGGCAACCCTGCTCTCTCCTCCAGCTCTCACATTGCCATAATGGTCGTGAAGTGTGATCCAGTATCGCTGTCTCCCACCTGCTGAGCTGCACAGAAAGGGCGCTATCCCTTCGGAGTTTCCAACCTCATCCCTCTTGAATGCGACTGTCAGGGTGACAGCGGTTATTTCCCGGTCCCAGGGCTGGCAGCTCAATCATCCGATATACCCTTGGGATCGGGGGGTCGATCTCGCAAAAGATGAGACCTACCGAATTCCCACCCACATACTCTCTATGTGCTCTCTCTCCCTCTGTCTCTCCCTCTCTCTCTCTCTCTCTCTCTATCTCGCATCATGTCTCTCTCGCTCTCTCTATCTCTATATCTCTCTCTCTCTTTCTCTCACGTTCCCTCTCTCGCTTTGTATTTCTCTCTCGCTATCTCTCTCTCTCTCTCTCTGTACGTCTGTCTGTCTCTCTCTCTCTCCCTCTCTCTCTCTCTCTCTGTCGATACGACACATATAGACATATACACAATGATCCCGGAAAAGTACTTGCAATTAGGTGCTGTTACTTGCGTTCCTGCGAGATGTAGTGGGTCTGTCAAGGTTTCGCCGTGTCGCCGCCAAGGGCCGCATTGTTGCCGCCCACTTGGGACGTCCATCGGGATTTCGCCGCCCTTGCCGCCTCGTTGCCGCCTCGTTGCTCACTTGACGGGTTCGCTGCCGCCTAGTTGGGGGATCCGTCGAAGTGTCACCGCCCCGCCGCCCGCTGCCGCCTCGTTGCCACCCACATGGGCGATCCGTCGAAGTTTCGCAGCCGTTGACGCCTCGTTGCCGCCCCCTTGAGGGGGTCCGTCGAGGTTTCGCCGCGTCGCCGCCTGTTGACGCCCCGCTGCCACCCACTTGGAGCCGCCTCGTTGTCGCCTCGGTGCCGCCCACTTGCGGGGTCCGTCGAGGTTTCGCCGCGTCGCCGCCCGTTGAGAACTTTGGGGGGTCCGTCGAGGTCTCGCCGCGTCGCCGCCCAGTGCCACCTCGTTGTCGCCTCGTTGCCGCCCACTTGGGCGATCCGTCGAGGCTTCGCCGCGTCTCGGCCCGTGGGCGCCTCGTTGCCGCCGAGGTGCCGCCCACTTGGGGGGGCCCGTCGAGGTTTCGCCGCGTCGCCGCCCTGTTGCCCATCCGGTGCCGCCCACCTGGTGGGGTCCGCCGAGGTTCGCCGCGTCGCGGCCGGTAGGCGCCTCGTTGCCGCACTTTTTCCGCCCGCTTGGGCCGGGGCCCGTCCGAGGCTTCCCGCGCCGCCGCCCGTGGCCGCTTCGTTGCCGCCCACTGGGGGGGGGCCGTCAGGATTTCGCCCCGTCGCCGCCCGTTTGAGCAGCGCTGCCAGCTCGGTGCCGCCCACTTCGCGGGGGTCCGTCGAGGTTCCGCTGCGTCGCCGCCCGTTTCCGCCTCGTTGTCGCTTCGTCGCCGCCCACCTAGATGGGTCCGTCCAGGTTTCGCCGCGTCACCGCCAAGTGCCGCCTCGTTACCGCATGATTACCACCCATTTGGGTGAGCGCGTCGATTCGCCGCGTCGCCACGCGTTGCCGCCTCGTTGCCGCATCGGCGACGCCCACCATGGGGGGGTGCGTCGACGCTTCGCCGCGTCGCCACCCGTTGCCGCCTGGTTGCCGCCTCGGTGCCGCCCACTTGGGGGGTCCGTCGAGGTTTCACCGCGTCGCCGTCCATTGCCTGCCTCGTTGCCGCCCACTTGGAAGATCCGTCGAGGTTTCGCCGCGTCGCCGCCCGTCGCCGCATCGTTGCCACCCCGGTGCTGCCCACTTGGTGGTGTCCGTCCGCCTCTTGCCCGCTGGTGGGGGGCGGTCCGTCGAGGTTTCGCTGCGTCGCCACCAAGTGCGCCTCGTTGCCGCCTCGTTACCGCCCAAGTGGATGGATCCGTCGAGGTTTCGCCGCATCGCAGCCCGTTACCACTTCGTTGCCGCATAGTTGACGCCCACTGGGGGGGTCAGTCGAGGTTTCGCCGCGTCGCCGCCTCGTTGCCGCCTTGTTGCCAATTCGTTGCCACCCACCTGGGCGATCCGTCGAGATCTCGCCGCGTCGCCGCCTCGTTGCCGCCTCAGTGCCGCCCTTCTGCCACCCAATTCGGGGCCCTTCGAGGTTTCGACGCGACGCCTCCAGCTGCCACCTGATTGTCGCTTCGTCGCCGCCCACTGGGGGGGGTCCGTCGAGGTTTCGCCGCGTCGCCGCCTCGTTGCCGCCTCGCTGTCGCCTCCTTACCGCTCCCTTGGGCGGCCCTTCGAAATTACGACGCGTCGCCACCAGTTGCCACCAGAAGCCGAGTATTCAAAAATGACACCAAAACTGTTCAGCAAAACTTATCCTATTTGCCTCCTGGGGGGCCTCTTGGGAACTATCTAGGGGTTTCCTGAGGCTCTCTGCGGAGCCCGCTGGGCCGTCAAGTGGCCATCTTGGGCCCATGCTGGGCCATCTGGGGCCCATCGTGGCCGTCTTGCGGAGCTCGCCGGGCCCTCCTGAGGCCTCGTGGGGCCAACCGAGGCCGTCTTGGGGCCATCTGGGACCGGTTTGGGTCCTCTTGGGGCTCTCGCGAATCAGCCCCTCTGGCCGCAACCGAAGTTGTTGCAGATCAGTTTCCTGCGCAACGGGAACCGATTGTACTAGGTAAGCTATATCCACAATATAGATATAGCTGTTCCTATTCCTATATGTCTATTACGCGGACACCCCCCCCACCCCCACCCCTAAACCGGACCCCCCCCCCAGGGACGCCCTGGACGCCCTTTCGGACGTCTCGGCGGCCCCCTGGACGACGCCCTTGGAAAAGGTCCGCTGGCCCTTCCGGGCCTCCCAAGGCGCCTTGCTGGGCCTTGCGAGCAAACTCGAGGCGATCAGAAGGGTCATCGGAGAGGCGCAAGAGAGACCCAAGACAGCATAAAAGCTCTCCTAGAGGAACCTCGATGGTCTGAAGACGGCCCAAAAAGCCCCAAAGACGCCTCAGGAGGCCGTTAAGAGAGCCCTGAAAAGTAAAAATCGCCCCATCCCCTCAAGGAAACCAGCGTCCAAGACGGCCCGATGGGCCCCCGATATCGCCCCAAGACGACCAAAGAGGCCCCCCAGAGGGCTTGAAGACGGCCCAAAAATGGCCCTAAGACTGCCTCAGAGAGCCCCGAGACTGCCCACAAAAAGCCGAAGATGCCCCCAGGAGGTCCCCAAGAGAGACCCACGAAAGCCGTGGGAGACCCCCAAGAATGCCATTGGAGGCCCCCAAGAGGGCCCTAGATGGCTTCAGAAGACCTCTGGAGGGCCCCAGACCCCCAAGACGGCCCAAGAAGGCCCCAGGACGGCCCAAGAGCGCCCAGGACGGCCCAAAAGAGCCGAGCCCTTAAAACGCCCAGACGGCGTTCTCCTACGAAGTACATCGAGCTGACCCGAACATCTTGGTTCCACGCTTGAGGCTCAACGCGTAAGTTCCTCGATGGAGAAAGACAGGCAGTGGATCTAGTTTCGAAGTTCGACGATCGATGATTTCCTGAGCGCCTGGAGCCCTCCAGGCATTCAGGAAGCGATCGGAGCTACTGCGACTTCTTCGGCATGTCAGGGGAACGCTCCTTATTTCCTCAAAAGACCTTCGCGCGTGAACAAAGCATCATCCCTTCCCCACTCATGCGCTCAAGCATACAAACGCATCGGGCGAACGTGGTGTCAGCAGGCACCAGGAATACCAGAAAAATGAGCTGGTCGCCCGCCCAGGCCTCGAGGTCCCCCATGCTGAAACAAGCGATGATGTTTTTTTTTTGCCAGGGACTCGTCCGGAACAAGGCGCATTTGCGCGAAGCGCGCCAATGCAGTCTTGTATATATATATATATATATATATATATGCACGTCGGAAAAAAGTGATACACACAGCTGTACTGATCAAATTGGGTCTCCTGGTTCCAGAAAGATGATCCGGGACAACTGTTGGTTGCCTCTTGCGCCATCTTGGGGCCGTTTTGGGGCGCTCTGAAGGACCTCTTGGGCCGTTTCGGGTCTCTCCTGGGTTTCTCTGGGACCGTCCTGGACGCTGCGCACGTGAAAACAGCGAATGTGGTATGATTGCGGAGTTCCTAAAGAAGTGTCCACAAGTTGTGCCTCTTCGGGCCCTTTTGAAGGTCACCTTGGAGCCCTCTTGGCCGTCTTGGGGCCCTCTTG